TCTAGTTAAAAGTTTTCCATGTATTTACAAAAAAATATCTTTACATTTATATAAATAAAAGAGGTATTTTTTCTTGTTAAAACCATGTTGCAAGCATCCTAATTTGAAAACAAAAACATGTAGATTAACTTGGGAAATATGAGATCATTGTGTATCATTGTACAAAAAGTTTTGGAAAAGCACAGGTGTTCCGAAGTTAAAAATGGTTGTAGTATGAGGCTTACTTGATGATGGGTCACGAAAAATTAAAACCTTGGGCTACACATAAAAGCTTAGCAAGTTGGGATAATCTAAGATTTTTGTCGCTGATCAAGTAACTGGTCATGAATAATGTATGGGTTAAAGAGTAAAGAGAATCAAAGTCATGTCTAACCAAAGAGTGTCTGATCAGAATTGTCAATCGGGGTGAACTGCTGTTGATTTTTTTGCCCAAGATTTTACTGAATTACAAGGCGGTTGACAAAAGAGAGTTCTCATTTGAAAAAGAAAATACCCTAAAATTGCATCATTGCACATATTTTAGGCATAAATAGGATCATGACATTCATAAAATGCATAATGATGATAAATGCGATTAAGAACTTATAGGTTTTCCAAAAGGAAAGGTTGAAGATTTCGGGACCTAATATAAACCAATTCGAAGTCCCACAAAGGGAAAGCTTTAACTGACACTCAAGTCGAGGCAGATTTCCATATTTGGTGGCTGCGAGACAAGCTTCCACAAGAAAAGCCAATTTCTAAAGATTATATTGAATTCCAAACTTTTAGGAATGATGTTTTCAAACTCTCAAACATATACTAACAAGTGGTAATGTTTTATTTTCAGATTTAATATTCTTGAAGACAAGAGAAGCAAATCAAACTCGATTCAATTTTCCCAGATAAACACTGGCATGAATCAACGTTTCCAGGTCTAATTTTCCCTGAAGAAACAGTGGAGCAGATCCCTTGTTTTTCCAGATTTGATATTCCCTGAAGAAGCAGTGGAATAAGTTTGTCTCGATTCAATCTCCCTGAAGAACAGTAGAATGAGTCAACATCTCCATATCTGATTTTACCTGAAGAAGCAGTGGAACAGATCCCCTTTTTCCAGATTTGATCTTCCCTAAACAAGTAGTGAAACAAGTCTGCCTCGATTCAACATTCCTGAAGTGCAATGGAATGATTAAACGTTTCCAGAACTGATCTACCCTGAAGAAGCATCAGAGCATATATCTTTTCAGACTCTATCTTCAAAAATCTCTTGAGATGTTCATTTCCAGTCTCATTTGAGACAATATCAGATTGTGAAGTACAGATTTGACTGGACGAAAACTCATTGTCTCTTTGTCTTTAACCTATTCTTGTTAACATAAGAATGGGCAAAGAGGGGTAGCTATCGTCACACGTTTTCGCCCGGGAATCTTTCTAACTTTATTAATTATTATTATTTAATTATTATTTCTATTATTTTTTTATTTTTTTATATATTTATGTTATATTTATTTTTATTTCTACAGGCAAAAAATACAACAAATACTTCCAACCCAAATCAAGCCCTAATTACAAAGCCAACTGGTCCAAATAGAAATCTAGACCCATACCCAAACAGATCCAAACTCGAGCCCAATTACCAAAATCGTAATGGCCCATTATGTTACAAACTTTGGCTAACCCTAATTTAAAGGTTAGCCACTTACCGTCGCCGCCACCTAGAAGATAAAGAGCCCGTCGTCGCTGTCGTAGAGCCCAGTCGAGAAGCAAGTCAAGCCGATCATCAGAGCCACCAAGCCAAGTCAGGTCAAAACAAAACCTGAGGCATTTAATGCCTTACCAGTAGTGCTCTGCCCCAAACAAGGAGATTGTAGCTCCAACACGCAACTCAACACCAACTCAGCAAGTAACTACAAGTAGTAAGGCAGTGTAATGATTTTTTTTTTTTTTAAATCTGTAAAAACTGGGGTTATAAAAACCAAAACAGTGGTAAGAAAAAGGGGCTATCATTGTTTTGTTTTCCAGAAGCAATATACATAAAACTTTAAGGTATTTTTTCCTTTATTTTTTTCATTTTCGAATAAAGAATAAAAAATAGCCAAGCATATTTACAAAAAAAAACTAGAGAAAATGAGAGTATATCTAGAGAGTTACCTGAGAAAGGAGCTAAACCGTACGGTCAGTTCATCTTGACGGTCGGAGGAGGCGAGAAGCTGAAAGGTCGAGGAACTTTTAGGGTTTTAGGGGTATTTTATGTGGTTTAGGCCCTAGATCTAGGCTTATGAGGTTAGATCAGAGTGAAATGGTAATTTTAGATTAGGTTTAGAGGTTCAATCATCGTGTATAGTGGTCGGAACAGTGAACGATGAACGATGAACGGAGTAGCGGCGTAGGGTGGCTGGCATTGGCTGACTGAAGGAAAAAAGAGAGAGGAGAAAGAGTTTTAGAATTTTTTTTAAGTTTTCAGTTGAAAATGAAAAAAGAGAGAGAAATATAGGTTTTATAGGAAAACATTAGGGTAATATCACGCATAGATCCCCTTAAGTTAGCCAAGTGTTTTGCATGTTGGTCACCTGTAGCGACCAAAGTTGTTATTTACCTATTTTTATGCATATTATATATATTTTGGGGTATTTTATGTTTAGTCCCCCCATAGTTTAGCGTGTTTTTCCATGTTGGTCATATGTAGGGACCAAAGCTATTATTTGCCCGTTGTCATGACTGTTATGTATTTTTTGGAATATTTGATGTTTAGTCCCCCTTATTTAAGCATATTTTTGTATTCTGGTCATTTGTAATGATTATTTAATTTAATTTTAATATTTTCGGACTGATTTAGTAATTTAGGAAATTTTCTTTAAAAGCATGTTTTAGGCTTGTAAAAAAGGAATAATCATTAGATAGTCAATGTAGTTTCAGCATATTTTATATTTTGGTCTATGATTTGTTTTCTTATTTAATTTAATTTAGCCATGTAATTTTATTTTATTTAAATTTGGTCCCTATATCTTTCTTATTTTATTTTGATTTTTGGATATGATGATTTAGTTGTTTACATTCTAGTCATATTTGCATTTTGTTTTATTTTAATTTTGCATGCTGCCTTTAGGTTATTTTATTTTAGTCACTAATTAATTAGGTTATCTCTATTTTAAACTAATTTGCATGGTACCCTCATAAGCATTTATTGACTCAAATCAAAATAATTTGACTAAGGGTAATATTCATTCATTTTAATAATGTCGTAAAGTGATTGTCCTAACGAATAAGAAAGTAGCTTTCGATAGTTTTAAAATGAATGTTTATCTCATTAAGTGACACTAATTAAATTGATTCCATTTTAAAATATGGGGATTAAAAAAAAGATCATGTTCTTTTAATTAAGTTCACCGAGAAAAGATTGTTAGGTCAAATCTAAGGTCTCGTCTCGATGTATTTAAATAATCAGACATCCTTATTCTCATTAAGGTTGGTAAAATAAATAAATAATTTTACTTGCTTGATGTATGTTTTTAATTTTTATTTTGCATGCTTTTTCATTATTTCAAAAAATAAGTAACACTCAAATTAATATGGAATATTAGGACAAAATAGTAATATCTTTTCATTTATGTTGTAGTAATATATGATTTTTTTAAGGCATGAGATGTCATTTATTCTCGATTGGAAATAATTAGATATTATTGTTTTCTCTCGATTCAATATTGATTTTTAAGACGAATATTGATATCTATTCATTTCAATTGGAGTAATAAATTACTGTTTTAAGGCATGAGAGATCATTTATTATCGAATGAAAATAATTAGATATTATCATTTTCTCTCGAATCAATATTGAATTTTAAGATAAAATAGTGATATCTCTTCATTTTGATTGGAGTAATAAATGATTGCTTTAAGGCACGAGAGGTCATTTATTCTCGATTGGAAATCACTAGATATTATCGTTTTCTCTCTTAAAATTTTAAAAATATGATTTAAAAAAATGGAAGGTCTTAGCGTTATTTTGTTTTATTGTGTTGTTATTTTGAATTAATAATGAACTTTAGGATGTAGTTATAATATTTTTTATTGGAGTAAGAATAGAATGCTTTAAGGTATTAGAGGTCAATTCTTCTCAATAGGAAATAATTGAATATTATCGTGTTTCATCCCAAAATTCAAAGGATATTACTTGTATGGAGTCTTAAATTAAATTAAACTTGAATTCTTAAATTTCATTGCAAAGAAAACTAATTAATCGACTAGGTACCGATTTAGGGCACATGGAGGTGTAAATCCTTCCCCACGCGTAACCGACCCCTTAACTCAACTCTTTGGTAAATTAGACCGTAATTTTTTTGTTTTAATTAAAATTAATATTTTTATTAAAATGACAAATATGTTTTTGGGTGCCCAATCACACCCTAATCAAAATTTTGTGGTGACTACTCGAATCACATTTTATTATTAATAAGTCAATACATTATTCAAAACAAGACCTTTTAAAAACCATATTAAAAAATACATTTATTTTTTAAGGATTAAAATTGTTTCGACATCCAGAATACAAAAAGGGTACAAAATGAGGGAGTCTAGGTGTGATTTACCATTTTTATTTAAAAAACAAAACATTCCCCCCATTTCACATAATCAGTCGAGAAGCTTACCAAGCTTCCAAAACTCATATTCGGCCACTACAGGCCGACCCTCACACATCGGACATCGGGCCAGTGATCAATACTTCAACTAATTACCCTTACCATTAACAAATAATAAACGACCAAAGGCTTGAACAACCGAAAATTTTCCTCCCCCACATTCACCTTCCTATCTCCACTCTCCATCTCCTCCTTTGATATGGCTGGGAAATCTTAATGCCCAACTCCAACACCGATGAACTCGCAAAGAACTCATCAACGTCGCCAGCCACCACAAACCAGAGGAAACTCTTCGGCCAAAAAAGAACTGACCCTCTTCCTACTCTTCTCTCTTCCTATACGGCAGCAACAAAAAAAAAAGTTTGAAATACCTCCCTCGCCGGCCACCTACATTCGACACTGTTTAGCCGTGAGCCAACCTCTCTCACACGTCGACCATCACTCAATGGTGGCCACTCCCTAAGCTACATGCTGACCCAAAAAAGAAGGAAGAAATAAAGAAAATGGAGAGAAAAAAGTTACCTTTTATTTTCTTCCATATTTTCGAGGAAAATGTGGGGTTGTTACAAAGCTGGTTGGGGTTATTATAACCCCAACGAATATAATATTTTATTATTATTATTATTATTATTTATAATAATAATAATAATAATAAAGGGGTAAAATGGAATAAAAATGGTAATTACATATGCCCCTCTTTGCTCATTGCTGTGAAACAGGAATGAAGCAAATATAATAAGCACCGTTTTTTATTTGGACTAAACTGATGCAATCTTGAGCTATAATTTCTTCTGATCGGGTGAGTTTTTCTCATTATGAACTCTTATATGGGGATGTTAATCCACTCTCTTATGCGATGGTTGACCCAAGGTGATTTTGAACTAACTCCTTATATGATGGACGAGCGAAATGATGATGCTGATCCAACTCCTTATGTGATGAAAGAGAAAAAGTCAATGTTGTTCTAACTCCTTATGCGATGGAAACAAGCTAAGGTTGAACAAGTTCTTCTCATTATAAACTTCTTCTCCCTTTCGGATGAGTTCTTCTCATTATGAACTCTCCACTGAAAATTTTGATCCCTCGAGTAAGGTGTTGTTGATTCAACTCCATATGTGATGAATCGAGCTAAGGTTGAACAAGTTCTTCTCATTATGAAATTCTTCTCCCTCATCGAATGAGTTCTTCTCATTATGAACTCTCCACTGAAAATGTTGACTGGTTTATCCCCTCTTTAAAAAGTTTTAAACATGCAAAAGATTATCATATGTAAGTGATTCGTATTTAAAACACCCGAAGGTAATGACTCGATGGTCCTCAATTTTATTGAGATACATTTTTTCAATGGTGAAAAATATAGAGTGTTTCTTTGCTGAAATAAAGTCGTGAAATGAAATCTTTGTTAACTCTTTGAATTCCTGTCAAATCACAACATTTAAATGAAAATGAACGAGTGAAAGAAATTTGCTTCAAGATAAGTTATCTGAGAAGAGAGAAGTTTTCGTTTCAACTGAAACAATTCCAAAATACGTGTTACAAGGGGAACTACCTCAAGCAAAATGAATTTTAAAAAAACCATCTCAAGTGGTAAATTTTTGTTTCGAGTGAAACCATTTCAAAATTTGTGTTCCAAGGGGAACTATTTCAAAAAATATGAAATTGATTTTAAGAAAAACATTATTAAGTGAGAAACTTTTTATCTTTGCTTGAAAATGTTGAATCTGAAGATAATCGCCCCTTATTGTTGAAGACGTCTAGTTGTCTTTAATTTTATTATTTCCTGAAAAATCTACAAAAGAAAAGTGTATCTGAATGTAACTACTGAATATTTCTACAAAATACAAATGAATTTTTGAATTCATCCTCATAAAAGGGAAAATGTCCTTAAGAAGGACAATATGCATTTTCATAAGAAGAGAAAATCAAAGTTTTTACTGCATAAGATGATGAATATTTGATGTAATAATGCAAAATCATGTATGTGTATGCCGATGCATTTTTTTGTATTAATGGTAGTGAAGAGGTGCTGAAGCAATCTTGATTCTCTTCTTGATTTATTTGTCTTCATTCCTTTCCCACACCAGAGTGTATCATTTCATTTCTTTGCATAAAAATCTACTATTCATGTTCTCTAATATTGAAATCCTTTGCCCAGTTTCTGATTCTGAGCTTCTAAGTTTGAGAGACCTCCGTTAGTTTCCAAGATACACTCTCAAGAGAGATTGTCTTGTTTGAAAATATTTTTCTTTCTTTTTATTTTTTCAAAAATGTGAAAAGTTTGTTGAAGAGACAAAAATCATGCCCTTCTTTTAGGCTCACAATAAAGCAAATCACATAACATGAGTTCACTAAATATCAAAAGAATTCCCTTTTAATATTATCAAAGTTATAACTCTTTGACAAGTGTCAAAATTGATGGGTTGGTTTTAGGTTAGCTCCTTAAAGTTTCTAAGGTTTAATTCTTCAAAAGACATCATTTCTTTCTCAGTCCTTGTGAACATTATAACATACCTCTTTTCTTGACTTGATATTTTAATTGGATGTAGACAAAATGAAGCAACTAGCATATTCAATTACTAGACTTTCTAAAATACTTTTATTTCGGTTCTCTTAAATCTTCCATTTGTTCAAGCTTCATACACTCCCTTAGCAGAGGTAGTGCAAAGACATCAGTCTAAAAAACAAAATTCATGAGTGCTTATGTGAATTTGACTATAACATGTGTTCCTCAACTCCCTTAGTCCATTTTCATCAAAACTCATTATTATATTAAGCATAGGCATTATAGACTTTATTTATTAGAATTTATTTAGTTTGCCTTTGTTCATGCATAGTGAAGGGTTTATATCGTCACAAAGTCTTCGACTTGACAATTACAGTGGACTAAACACTGAATTGCCAAGTACCCGAGCAATGTCATGGTTTGAATGCAATCTATTCTTAAAGCTGGGGCTTTTGAGTTTCCTCTGTAACCAATTGCTTTGGTGGAATAGTTCAGCTTTATTGTATAATCTATAATAATAATAATAATAATAATAATTTATTAACCTTTTGAGTTTTCATATTTAGAATTTATTAAGCTCATCGAGAAGAACCTGTTATAGTAATAAAAAGGGGTTCGGGGGTCGATTACCCGTGGGGAAGGAGAAACACTCCCACAATGCCCAAAATTGGTACCCCATCGATTATAAATTGTCTTTAATAATGGAAATCTAAGAATTCAAATATAAAATTAAGTTACGATCCTATTATTCTCAAATTCAACCATATAATTTTTATTTATCCGAAAATTCTAAGGAGAAATAGAAAATGTTCCAATATTTCCAATCGAAGAGAAAATAATCCCTAAAATACTTTAGGACGCATATTTCTCTTTAAAACTGAAATAAAAAGAATATAATAATTTCTCCCAAAAACTCGATATTAAAATAATTTGATTCGACCAAAATAAAAAAAATTAAGCCAATTTGAACAAATTTAATTAATCATGCTAGATGATGAAAGTTTAAACTTGAATGAAAAAATATAATCACAATAAAAAACAAAGACCAAAAAAATAAGTATCACATAAATATAAGTGCTTAAATAAAATAAAATCATAAATAACATAAGGATCAAAATACAAGATAGCAAAATAAAATATTCAATGTGATAAAAATATGAAACATGCATATATACTCATGGGACTAAAATAAAATAAATAGAAAATAAAGTGCAATAATCAAAGGACTAAAATTAAAGTATTGAAAAATGAAGGGAAAAAATAAAAGACATAAGATTAAAGTAATGTAATTAAAGGAATGAAATTAAATAAATAAAAAGTAAAGAGCAAAAATTTAATTGTGTATAAAATTAAATAATAAAAAAAGAGTGATAAAAATAAAATGATAGTGTTAATTTTCAATATTTTAACCCAGACCATAAATAATGCGAGTCGTACCCTCGGGCGGGTCGTCGCAAGGTCATACTTTGGTTCAAACATAAAATAAATAAATAAATAAAAAGTTAGCGATTAGTGGTTTGCATTTAGCATTTAGCGGTTAGTAGTTAAAAGTTAGAACAGTTAGTTGTTAATAGAATATGTATCATAATAATGCGGATCATATCCCAGATCAGGTCACCACAAGGTCGATTCGAATATTTAGTGCAATAAATAAATAAATAAACAATGGTTAAATGCAATAAAATAAAGCCAGGTAATTTAAAATAAACAAAAAAACTTATGTGTTGACTAAAGTAGAAATGAACAGAAAGATATGCCAAATTCGAAATAAAAAAAATAGGAACAAGTGACCAATATGCAAAAATGTGGGAGAAGTTGGAGGACTGGAGAGTAGTTTTTCCTTAAAACAGGTGGCCAGAATACAAAAGGAGTACTAAATGAGGGGGCCTAGGCGTGATTTACCCTTCGAACTTTGCATGCCGGCCACCAGTCTGGGTATCAACACTTCAATTGACGACCCTTACCATGACCAGAGATGGACCGACCAAAGGCTTTAACGGTTTAAAACTCTCATCTCCCCACATTCATCTTCCTATCTACACTCTCCCTCTCCTCCTTTCACGTGGCCAGGAAAGCTTAATGCGCAACTCCAACGTCGACAACACTCGCAAAGAACTCATCAACGTCATCGGCCACCATAAACCAGAGGAACCTTTTCGGCAAAAAACGAACCGACCCTCATCCTACTCTCCTCTCTTCCTATGTGGCGGCAACCAAAAAACCAAAGTTTGAAATGCCACCCTCGCCGACCACCAACATTCGACGCTACTTGGCCGTTAGCCAGCCTCTCTTGCACGCTGGCCACCACTCAACGGTGGCCACTCCCTGAGCTACATGCTGGCTCGAAAAAGAAGGAAGAAATGGAGAAAGAGAATGGAGAAAAAAAGTTACCTTTTATTTTTTTCCATATTTTTGAGGAAAATGGGGGTTGTTACAAGGGTGGTTCGAGTTATTATAACCTCAACTAATGCAATATTTATTATTATTATTATTATTATTATATATATATTATAATAATAATAATAGTAATAATAAAGAAAAAGGGAATAAAAATAGTGATTACAGTTGGATATTTTTATCAGTTATTTACTCATCATTTATATTTTGATATTATTAATTTGGTTCTATTTTGACTTGTTTTCGGGTAGGAACTTCATTTGGATTATTCAGAATAGAACCAATAGTTAAGGGTAGAATCTGACTTTTTCTGTGAGTCATGACAGAAGACATGGGAACAAGCTAGGGCATGACGATTTTCAGATCAGACGTGGCAAACTTCGACAAACTAGTCAACATCTTCTTTAAGGTGGTCCACATTCTCTTGAAGACAAATTCGAAATTTTCTCGAAGATATATGTTTGAAAGATAATTGGAGGTTATATAGAAGATAAAGCA